ACCAGAAAAAAATAATGAAATGACTCATTATCTTCATCCTTGCAATGATGTTGACAGACTCTGCTTACCAAGGTAAAAAGATGGGGATGGAATGTTGCAACTGCACCATAGAGGTAAAGAAGAAAAAGGGGTATTGGAAGAATATCTGAAGAATATTGAAGAAGATGCACTGAAGCTAGTATACCATGTAGTCTTATTGAGTACCAGAGAGTCCATACTGCTGTACAAGAATGACTAAATGAAGAATAAAGGAGATACAGCAAGGCAAAATATTACATGGTCAGTACATTAAACAGAAAAGAGAAGAGAGGAGAGGGGAGGAGAGGAGAGGAGAGGAGAGGAGAGGAGAGAAGAGAAAGCAGATAATAATATGACCTGGCAATGGCTAAGAGTTGAAGAAAGCAGAGGGACTAATTCTGGCGACATGCGATGAAGATTTAAGAACAAAGCCAAAATTGAGAAGACAGCAACTGATAGCAAGTGCCACCTCTGTAAAGAAACTTAAGAAACAGTGAGTCATCTATCTAGCTGATAACAGAATAGAAGAAAAAGTACTGGAGAAAATAATAAAATATAAATACTGCAAATATAAGTAGAATGATTGTTGCAAAAGAAAGCAAAGATAGCACCAAATGTAATAGGTGCCTTGGGTGCAATCCCAAAACCTTGGAGCACCACATCAGCATTGACAAAATCAATTGTAGAAGGCAGCTTTACTTGAAACATCTTGCAATAATACTTTTAATGCTATCAAACAATAATATCTCCCTATTCCAGGACCTTTGGAAGGATTCGATAGGTGGATAAAAATAACAAATCCAGTCTAAACGCCTGGCTGACATTGCAATGAATCTTAATAAGTTATAGCCAAGGTGGCATAATTACCTTATTCTGCTGACCATGCACTTAACTGCTTTTTTTCTCCCAATATTCTCACTACTGCCTCTCTAATTTAAACTAAGAGCAACAGAAATATGACTGCTTATGTAGTGTCCAAGAAGGAATAAAAGTTTTTTCAAAAGAAGCAGAACAATCTTGAGTCGCCTATCAGCAGTTTAATTATACACTCAAAGCAGTGGTGGGTTGCTACTGGTTCGCCCCGGTTTGGACAAACTGGTAGTAGCGGCAGCGGGAGGCTCTGTCCACCCACCCGGACGTCATCAAATATACTCTATATATGGTCAAAGGATTTGCACAGTGTTATAACAGCTATAGGCTAAATTATGTAAAAAAGGGGAAATGGTTATACAAATCCACCCAACATGTACATATATGCCCCATAGGTTTTTCCTTGGGAAAACTTGAAAATTTCATTAATTTTTAAATTGTACTTTTAATATTTTCTTAGTTTTTTACATACATTTAAAGTTGACTGCCATGTTTTAATAAAAATATTAATTAAGCACAGTAATATTGAGCATCTCTGTATTTTTCTGTATGATGCCATATACATTCAGGCATATCTATATATGTGCGTACATGCACAAATATTTGAAAAAGGGGGAAAGTGAGATGCACATATTCCTAAGGGGTTGGTCTGATTGTTTGTGTTTGGCTCTTTTCATGTATTTAATCTATTTTCCTTGGATTTTTTTTTTCAATCTATATATCAATATGATACTCTTGGTTCTATGTTTACTTCTATTTGCCTCTTGTTTTGAATACAAGTTAGGAAATGTGATCAGGGGAATAAGTTCTTCAGAAGAGTCCTTCAGTTCTTTTTTGCTAGATAGGAATCGTCTTTGTTTTGTGTACCTTTCTTCATCCACATATCCAAATATACATTTTAATAAATATATAATAACTTGAAAAGAGAAATTGAATAATTTTTACTGCTATCTGCCCTCCTAGTCAGAGAGGCCAGTTGCCACTGCCAAACAATTTCAAAATGTCTTTGGCAAAAATTCTTGCCAAAGCCTCCTGACTAAATTCAACAGCCAAAATATAACATGGGGTACAAAGAAGATGATCTAGATTATTGGATAGGACTGCCAGTATCCCTCAGTTTTGCAGTTCTGGAATTCCAACTTCACAATTAGCATTGCTATAAATATTGCTTATTTTTGGAAGTTTTAATGGTGCTTATTTCACTGGCTCTGAACATGCGAGGCAGAGCCTGGAATGACTCTTCTGCTAATGGAAATTGTGTAATAATGGTACCATATAAGAAAAAATGTGCTTTCATATATTGACAGTTCATTAAAGAATGATAAACATCAATAAATAGACCTTTTTTAAAAAAAAAAAATATGCAGTCTACTGTTCCAAAACTTGCAGGAATCTGTGCTTTATAATTTACTTGTTCTTATGGGTGAAGATTGGCCAAGTAAGCTGATGATATCAAGCTATTCAGGCTAAGATAATCAGTAAGGTTTTGTGAAGAATTCTAATACAATCTTGAAAGTGAGTGAATAAGCCTTGCTATTGCCAATATTTCAATTGTAATGTGAATCACAGTGGCTCTACAACTCCAAACTTTACATATATATCTGTGAAATCTGAGCTAGAAGAGATTGATCAGAAAAATGATTTTGGAGTCATGATGGATAGCTCAATGAAAATATCAACCAACTGCAACTGCCATAAACAAGCAAATTTGATGCTTGGAATCATTGGGAATTGAAAATAAAGCTGTGACTATAGTAATGTCTTTATATAAATACATTGTAAGACTGCACTTGGAACAATATGAATAGTTTTAGTCACATGTCAACAGAGAAAAATGCAACATGTATACAAATATTAGAATATTGTTTAAAAATAAAGCGTTTGCAACTAACTTTTTAGCTTGATGTGAAGAAGAGCATTGAGAAACATCGTTGTTTATTAGTTGTGGTAATGACCTTCATTTGTTATTCAAAAGGAAATTTACATAAATCATAGTCAGAGGCTAGTACTTTTAGTGGCTTTTGAGTGCAAGAAGACATATATTAAATAGCAACTATAATGGAGCAAACATTATTTATTCATGAAATTTATCTGGTAAAACAATCATAGCCTTTTAAATTAGCAACATTCAGTGATGTAACCAAAGCATGTCAAAAGAGACTTTTCTTGATGGAATATGTGGAATAAAACTATGCTTGATGGAATAGAACTATTATATTAAGTATCAATGATTAACAAAGCACCATCGTGATCTTAAGGACCATGATGTTCCATAGAGTTTGGGCAGCCACAGAAAAAAACTGCTTCCAATCCCTGAGTCTCCTAACATACCACATTCTATTGTGTTGAATGATCATATTCTAAGTGATAATAATATAAAAAAATAAGAGAAAGGAATTTTTTTGGAACTCTTATCACTAATTGTTTAATATATTTGTATGCTGTGCCTGATACATTCTTAGTATGAAGAATGTGTCAAGCAAGTGTTGGCAAATGTGACTGTTAAGTAAATGAGTAAAATACAACTAGAATTCAGGGGCTATCATCATGATAAATACTCTTTGTGTGGAACAGCTTTAATATAAATATGCAAATATTGGAGGCTGGCTATTTACAAGGAACCTATATAAGACACAATTATCTCTATCTCTGCAATTTATAATATTCCATTAAGCTGGTATTTCAGTGATACACTAGATTTTACGCAAAGTGTGCTGAGTATTCCGAAAAAACATGAAACAGATAAAAAACTAAAATCACAAAACTATGGGCACCTTTTTATCACACCTGCTGAGGTTTTTTTCTGTTGTAAAGAAACCCCCCCCCATATTTTATATTATTTTTATTCAGTATGAGTCAAATTATAGTATAAGTCAAGCTTGTATTGGGTTTTACTATCATAAATAACATTCTTAATAAAAAATATATTAAGAAAAAATTAATAGAAATACAAAAACCAGACAAATTAGGCATAAATGCTTGAATTGGAAAAAAAAAATGTACAGCTCGTCATTCAACTGCAAACCAAACTCAGTCTTTCTGTCTTAATTCATACAAAAAAATTCTGAACAAAGCTACTTTCCTACTTTCTAATATGAAAGCAGTTAAGCTATAAATTATAAATAAATAATTAGAATGGGGGGTTGAATAAAATGTGCAGAAAAAAAAGAGAAAGAATGTAGAAAAGAAATAAATAGGAAGTGACTTCCTTTAGCACAACCATTATAAACATGTTTAATAATGATTAAACTTCTATGTGGTTATAAACAGAGATCTGTTCATCCCATGTCCCATCACTTATCTGTAAGTAAATGCATAGAATATTAACTTTTCAATCCTGGTGTCAGCAAAAAATCCAAAAGCAATTGTCAGAACTTTGCAAAAAAAAAAAAAAAACTTTGTTGAAATAAACTATTTATAGTATTTCCTTTTACAAACAGTCTTAATCTTTACTTCAATCAAATATTGTTGTAGTTTCTGATTTCTTTTCAATTCTTCTTTATCCCATTGCGTAGATATTTTCAAGGCTGTAACAAGCCTCTTTTGTAGATTCAATTAAAAAAACATTTCTAGGTAATTCTTTTGGTTTGTTATTTGTATTTCTCTTTTCATTTTTAAAACTTAAGCCAGTTTCTTTTGTCTATCCAATAAAACATACTTTATTATAATTCTCTTTTATCTGTATGTAGGCATCCCATGGCTTGCTTTTTGAAGGAATGTAAAGGGTGAATAAGTAACCCCTTGTTTTATTTCCATATTTACAGGCAAGGAAAAATACTGAATCTGTAATATTATCTCCAATGTGTACTTTCAGTGGCAGCTGAGACAGTTAATATTGGGCTATTGTGAAAGTGCAGTTCAAAAGTTATATATAGAAATAGGATTTGAGCTGGAATATCATGTCTGAAAATATCAAGCAGAATTTGTTCCTAATTGTGTGTATGTGGTTTGGTTTAAGTGTAAAATAACCTGTAAATATTTTCAAACACTATGGTACTGAGAAAAGGAATACTTTAAATATGGTATTGATGTTTACAATCACAGCTATATCATTTATACTTCCAATCGTAATTTAATTTCCATACTTTCTCATTACTTTTTGAATTTTTTAGTTGGTGATAAGAACCAAAACTGGAGAGATCCTTTATCGCATTTCTCCTTGGGCTAGATACGTAGTTCGTGAGGGTACCAACGTGAATTATGATTGGATTCACTGGGAGCCATCAACTCCATATAAAGTAAGTTATTAAATTAACTGTGATCTATTTCTTATAAATTTTGATATTTTTATATATGTCAGTAGGCTTTTTTCTTAAAGTTTGTAAACTCTCTTAGAGAGTTACATGGAGAAAGAATTATATTTTTATATGTAGAATATTGTTTATTAGAAGGGCAAACTGTGCACTTTCCTATATATATTATGCATGTGTATGTGTGTGTGTACACACACACACACACACACACACACACATATATATATGTGTGTGTGTGTATATATATACACACACACACACACACACACACACACAGAGCAACACACATTTATACTTGCAAATTGTTAAAGGTATTTTATATGTGTATCAATCAAAGGTAGTCCCTAGTTTATCTTATTTGTGCTGAAAAATTAAGGCTGGCCAGATCTAGATGGAAGACATTCAGACTGTAGGTTGTTTTCTTTAAAAACCCTAGAAGAAAGTAATGGCAAACTACCTCCACACTGTTGCCAAGATAGCATTTCCAGGAATTAAATTCAGGAAACTTTAATGAGTGCTGAGTTGCTTCAGTATATTGCCTGGTAGAAGGTAGCCACTTATAGTGGGGCAAAAAAGTATTTAGTCAGCCACCAATTGTGCAAGTTCTCCCACTTAAAAAGATGAGAGAGGCCTGTAATTGTCATCATAGGTAGACCTCAACTATGAGAGACAAAATGAGAAAACAAATCCAGACAATCACATTGTCTGATTTGGAAAGAATTTATTTGCAAATTATGGTGGAAAATAAGTATTTGGTCACCTACAAACAAGCAAGATTTCTGGCTCTCACAGACCTGTAACTTCTTCTTTAAGAGGCTCCTCTTTCCTCCACTCATTACCTGTATTAATGGCATCTGTTTGAACTTGTTATCAGTATAAAAGACACCTGTCCACAACCTCAAACAGTCACACTCCAAACTCCACTATGGTGAAGATCAAAGAGCTGTCGAAGGACCCCAGAAACAAAATTGTAGACCTGCACCAGGCTGGGAAGACTGAATCTGCAATAGGCAAGCAGCTTGGTGTGAAGAAATCAACTGTGGGAGCAATAATTAGAAAATGGAAGACATACAAGACCACTGATAATCTCCCTCAATCTGGGGCTCCACGCAAGATCTCACCCCGTGGGGTCAAAATGATCACAAGAACGGTGAGCAAAAATCCCAGAACCACACGGGGGGACCTAGTGAATGACCTGCAGAGAGCTGGGACCAACGTAACAAAGGCTACCATCAGTAACACACTACGCCGCCAGGGACTCAGATCCTGTATTGCCAGACGTGTACCCCTGCTTAAGCCAGTATATGTCCAGGCCCGTCTGAAGTTTGCTAGAGAGCATTTGGATGATCCAGAAGAGGATTGGGAGAATGTCATATGGTCAGATGAAACCAAAGTAGAACTGTTTGGTTGAAACACAACTTGTCGTGTTTGGAGGAGAGAGAATGCTGAGTTGCATCCAAAGAACACCATACCTACTGTGAAGCATGGGGGTGGCAACATCATGCTTTGGGGCTGTTTCTGCAAAGGGACCAGGACGACTGATCCGTGTACAGGAAAGAATGAATGGGGCCATGGATCGTGAGATTTTGAGTGCAGACCTCCTTCCATCAGCAAGGGCATTGAAGATGGAACGTGGCTGGGTCTTTCAGCATGACAATGATCCCAAACACACTGCCCGGGCAACGCAGGAGTGGCTTCGTAAGAAGCATTTCAAGGTCCTGGAGTGGCCTAGCCAGTCTCCAGATCTCAATCCCACAGAAAATCTTTGGAGGGAGTTAAAAGTCCGTGTTGCCCAGCGACAGCCCCAAAACATCACTGCTCTAGAAGAGATCTGCATGGAGGAATGGGCCAACATACCAGCAACAGTGTGTGCCAACCTTGTGAAGACTTACAGAAAACATTTGACCTCTGTCATTGCCAACAAAGGATATATAACAAAGTATTGAGATGAACTTTTGATATTGACCAAATACTTATTTTCCACCATAATTTGCAAATAAATTCTTTCCAAATCAGACAATGTGATTGGCTGGATTTGTTTTCTCATTTTGTCTCTCATAGTTGAGGTCTACCTATGATGTCAATTACAGGCCTCTCTCATCTTTTTAAGTGGGAGAACTTGCACAATTGGTGGCTGACTAAATACTTTTTTGCCCCACTGTAGAAGTGGTAGTGCTGCCTGTATCAAACTGGAAGAAGTGTTTTCATGCTTCCCTAATGCTGTTTGAAAAGTTAACCTGATGAATCCACAGGATGCTGTCACTCCCCCCCCCCCCTCACTTATAAATGAAGGCACATAGTATCTCTATAACAGTGCTGTATTTTGAGATTCAGTTTCAGTCTTTCCCCCATAGTATAATAGATGTTGATGAAGTACTTAGGTCAACTGAAGAACCTATTGGGAATATTAAAGTGAGTGAGTTTTATTACTGTGATTATTCTGAAGAATCTAAATTTCCAGTTCATTCAAACAACTTTAAATATAATTTTATTCATTATTTATATGGAGAGTAACATAGACTACAAAAGGAAAACACTTTCTTTACAAAATTAAATTTATAACAGTGCACAGAGCACCTGCATCTGTTTTTTGTCCTTTTCAAAACCAAATAAAAATTGTCAAATATACTTAAGCCTTTCTGTGATTTGCTGCCAGCCTTTAATCTTACAAACTCTGTGAACTTTCACATTTCAAAAAGCATTCCATATTTCAGTAATTCAGCTCTGTATGATAAGCAATATTGATTTATGCAACTTGCATGCAATTACAACTTGTTTAGCAGTCAAGAGACTTGTTATTAATTTTGGATGTTCTTTCTACAGTATTCCTGCTAATAGGCTCAGTAAATTAATCTTTCATTTATTGATAGGAAAGAAAGATGAGAACTGAGGACTGGGATGCAATGGAGTGGAAAGGACAATATAAGACGTTCAGTGGATAATGTTTCCAATATAAATAGTACAGGAACCAATAAACTTTAAAAATATGTCCCAGTTTTTAAACTGTCTTTCCAGGAACCTAGGATTTTCCTAAAAGCATTATTTGCTGACAAAAATAGTAATGATAAATAATGCCATTATAATTCTTCTACACAGTAAAAGAGAATTGTATCTATTCTGTGTAATGTTCTTCAAGTTAATGATGAAATTTAATATCTTGTGAATTTTGAATAGAAGTTTGCTTACTAATTATTTGGTCAAAACATTTGGTCAAATTGAGATAGTATGAATTTTCTGACCAGAGGAATTTTAATACATTATTCACAAAGAATTCTCTGACCTTAAAAAAAATTAGAAATCTAAGTAGCCAATGTATATTTTGCCTTTGCAATATCTGCCTGGCTGGAGCATCTGCAATGATAGTTTCACCCAGATGATCAAATACCTGTCGCATTTTAATGTGCATTGCAAGCATGTAAAAATGAGTAAACTTTTGCTTAACTGTACTTACAATTTTGAAACCAACAACATTTCCTGTGGATGTTCCTGGATTAAATTATGTCCCATGGGAGCTTTGGAGAAAGGAATTTGTGCACATTAAATTGCTCTCAATATCTTGTATTTATATAAAATTTAATGTGGTGGTTTAGATTTTAACATGTCCATTCTTGTCTAAGAAAACTAACAGCTTTCAGATTTTTATTCTTAAACTATTTTTTTTCTTGTGTAGTGGAAACATCCCATTCCTAAGAAACCCAAAAGTGTAAGAATCTATGAATCACATGTGGGAATTGCTTCCCCTGAAGGGAAAATAGCTTCATATAAAAACTTTACATACAATGTGCTTCCAAAAATCAAAGATCTTGGTAAGTGATATCTGTGGCTTCTTTTGAGATAAATTTTAATGACTCCTGTGTTTTTATTAGAAAGTTCATTTCAAAAGTCTCCATATTGATTTTTAATACATCACCTCAGTGCATTTTAATGTGGGATACATGTATTTTTTTTTAGAAAGCTACTAAAGGCAAGATGCTGTTGATAATATATTTATGTAAAGAGCCACATCCAGAAGTAAATTGCTAGTTCAATTTACTAATCAAGTTGCATGTAACTTCCAGCATCTGTGAGTAGCCATGCTTTGAGAAATCCTGTAGCACAGGGGAAGTGCCAGAAGATTGGAGAAGAGCCAACATTGTGACAATATTTAAAAAAGTGAAGAAAAGAGGAATTTGAAGACTATTAACCAATCAATTTGATGTAAACACCTGGGAACATTCTAGAAAAAAATAAGCAGTGGGTTTGCAAGCACTTAGAAGAGTGTTTGTCAAAAACTAGCATAGATCATCCTAGACAATTAATGAATCTATGGAATGCTATGAATATACTTAGACTTCATAACTCATTTGATAAAGTATATCATAGCCTCCTTTTTGATAAATAGGATCAGTGTGGGATGGATTACCAGATGGATTCACAGTTGACTGAACAACCGTAGGCAACACGTAGTTCTTTATGCCCACATAGATGAAAGTCTGCAGTTTCTTATCTTAGGGTTTAGTTCTGGGTTCAGGACTCTTTAATATCTTTATAAATGACCTAGAAAAGGAAATTAAAAAGGTATTCATAAAATTTGTTGATGTCACAAAGTTGGGGAAAAGATCACACAGGTAGTCCTAATGAATTACAGAAAACAGGCTCAAAATTCAAAAGATCTTGATAGATTTGCACTTGAATTGTTGAACATAAAGGTAAGAAATGTAAGGTTCTCCAATTACTTTATATTTTTAATTTAAATAAGAGATAGCTAAGAGCCATGACAATGGTTTTCCAAAACATAATCAGAAACATGGTGTGAATTTATTCTCCGGAGCATCTGAAGATAAGAAAGAACCAATGAGTGCAAGCTTAACAAAGACAGATCCAAATAAGGATGAATTTCCTGAATGTGAGTGCTCTTAGGCAATAGAACAGTTCCATCATTGGAAATTTTCAAGAAAAGACTGGGAAAAAAACAGACCTCCAAGATCCCTTCTGACTCTGTGACTATGATACAAATACAATAATTAGAACTAATATTGAAAATTGATTTGTAATTTTTGATTCTTGATGAGTGTTTATTTATTATTAAAATTTTATACCAACTGATCTCCCCTATTATAAAGCAAACCTTTATAGGTTATAAAAAGACAAATAGAAAAATAATTAAAATATAAAGCTATACAAATAAATTTTTAAAACTTTACCCCCAAAAAATCTAAGAGATGGATGGGACTGGGAAACTGGATGAAAATTGTCCAGACAGATTGGATCCAATGTTGGTTCTTGAGGAGGGGGAAGACCAAAGAGGCAGACCAATTTAAAATTTAGCATGATTCTATTAGAAGCATCAATAACTGATTGAAAAAATGTCTGTAATTTAATACTACAGTTAGTTATAAACATTGATTTTTAGAAGTAAACAATATAGATACAACATTTTTTTTTACAGAACAATCTTTTAAAATTGCAATTTAAAATCACTCCATCCGTCTGATAACAGGAAATAAATAAATATGACACCACACCATAAATAAGACTATAGGTAGTCATATAAAACTAAATTAAGGTTTAAGTGAAATAGTTTTAATCAAAGATTTTAATTAATGCTGATACTAAGTGCTAATACATAAAGTAATATAAAATGGTTATGTCCACAGACAAGTTTGACCTGTAATTCATTCTTCACCAATAATTCTTGCTTGGTTGTTAAAGGGGACATATATATGCTTTTATAGATGTTGGCTTCATTGCTTTAGTAAAAGTTTTCTTTTAAATAGGTGTGGTTTCATCATTAAATTATACTTTTCCCTTCAGATTTACTTCATTAACATCGTATAAAATATTTTGAGTGGGATAAGGGACAAATAGAAACATTTTCTTTTTCTTTTTCTTTGGTGCTCTGAACTTTCAGTAAATTTCAGATCAAACTTATGCTTCTTTAACATTTGTTTTTTTAAAGAGATTCCTTGAGGGAAATAAATTTGGAGGAAAAAATGTCAATTAGAAATGGAAATGTTTGAATCATTAAGAAAAAAAGCACGAAGTTTAATATGTGTATAGTCAGTTACTTTTATGATTAACACTGTAAATATCAAAAGTGCAGTTTAAGTTCAGAGCATGCACATTGGGATACTTAATGTTCTAAAGTCAAATTACAATTATATTTGCATATTATATATTTCTTAGTAAAAGGCCAATATTTCAATGCACTTAAAAGATTGCTTCAAATGTCGGCTATCCCAGTTTTGATTTTAAAAAAATGCTTCTTTTGTGCTTAACTTATATCTTGATAAATATAGATAATCTTGACCAAAATCAATTGTAATATTGGCCACTGTTTTCTTTAAAAAGCACTGTTGCAATCACTAATTTTCTTCTACAAACAGGATATAACTGTATTCAGTTGATGGCTGTGATGGAACATGCTTACTATGCAAGTTTTGGTTATCAGATCACAAGTTTTTTTGCAGCATCAAGGTATGCTTTATTATTTTTGCTGTTTTTATTCTTTTTTCCTCTTCATAGGAAAAAAATATCAGAAAGATCTAAACCAATGAAAAAGGTTGACAAACTTGATCAGGGAGGTATATGATGGACTGTGTTCATAATTTCAGCAGTTGTAGCCACCAATGAACTTACAGTCCAAAATGGAACAATATTTCAGTGACTGTCACCCTTACATATTACAAACAATAGGAATATGGTCCGATATTGATTCATTGATATCAAAGTGCTTGATAAAAGGCAGCTTCTGCAATTTTCAACTTTTCTTATAAAGCCATTTGATTAATAAATAAATATTTCTGAACATAAGAAAGAAACTGAGGAAAGTAGTAGTAAAGCTGAAAACATTTTAGGGGCTTGAGTTTTTAATCCTACACCTCAATAATTGTTCATTTCAGTTGGAAGAATGTATATTCTCCACTCCCAGATTTCAAAATCTCTATGAATGACAGCAGTGTCCAAATAAAAAGTTGGGAACGAGGCAATGTGAGGGAATGTATACTGAATTACTAAATTATTTTAAATAAATGAATATTTTTATTGACCTGTTTTAATTGTTTTGTTTTCTTTCTTGGGACCAGGATCAAGATAATATACAATAAAATAGATTTTACTTTTAATTCATTATCCATGTAGATTTCTTCAAAAACATGGAATAGTTTGTTTCTCTACTCTGTCAGAAGACTTATTGTTTTCAGAAATGAAAGATAATTAGGGGAACATGCACAAAATACATTAGTTTTGGATTGATTGAAGAAAGCCACTGTAATTTGAAAAAAAAATCCTGTATAATATAGATTTATTTATAACTATAATTAATTCTAATAATGTTGTAAACTAAATCTCTTTTATATTTAGAAATATTAAAGAGTTTTAAAATAAATATTCAAGCATAAAGCATATGACCTTTCACATTAGGTAAACACAGTTGTTTGCTAAGTTACATTGTTAATTGCTTGAGTATCATTGTAGATTCAAAGCTGTCTGAAATCTAATGGCTGCCAGCTCTGCATTTATAATCAAGAGTTCTATCACAAGATACTGTATTTGAGATTAGAACAAGCTATCTTTGTAGCTACAGCTTGTCCTTCCAGCTTTTTTTTTTTTACTGCAATTCCATTTCTAGATACATTCAACATACACTGCATATGGTGCTGAAATTAAAGCTGCTAAAAACGTACTCTTCTAAAAGTCAGTTTGAATGTGAACTAAGTTATAATTTCCTTTTGAAATGACTGAAAAGTGATGCAAATTAAAATTTCACTCTTTCATTTCTGTGGTACTTTTTACTTGTGAAGTGCTTACAGTCTATATCTCATATGTTCTTCACAGCATTCATATGAGAGACATTGAATTTACTTTTTTCCTATGACTTCAGAAAGTATCTAATGATTTGCTTAAGGCCTCCCAGTGAGTTATTTTTTCACCTTCTTTCTTTTACTCTGAGATTCAGATCAGTATACTAGCATATAAACAAAGAAAATGTAAATTTTATTGAGTTAATACTCTGTATAGGTTAAACTGTTGTTTGTTTAGCCTAGGATTATATCACATGATTGATGTGCCTTTTATAATCATATCAGTCTTACCACTTGATTTTCTTAAGCTTAAATAGATAAAATATCTTCTATTCCTCCCTAAAATGCTGTCATTAAATAAGAGTTACAGTTCTAGTGAATCATAATAGTACTAATCATGCTGATTTTTTTTAAAAAAAATCAATGTTATATACAATTAATTCTAAATGTTTATACATTTTAGTCGATACGGCACTCCAGATGACTTAAAGGAACTGATTGATGTTGCCCACTCAATGGGAATCACAGTTCTATTAGATGTTGTACACAGTCATGCATCAAAGAATTCTGAAGATGGCCTGAACAATTTTGATGGTACTGATTCTGCATTTTTCCATTCTGGTCCTAGAGGAACACACGTTCTTTGGGATAGCCGACTTTTTGACTATGCAAAGTAGGTATAAATAATACGATAAGTGCATCTAATTAATTTACATACATATAATCTATAGGTCATTTGTTTTCATCCAATTATTAATGTATTATTGTGGCTCTTTAAGAGCAGCAACATTAAAAGCTTGTGAAAGATGCTGCATAACTTATCCAAGAGAATTTAATAGCTGGGCTTTGACAAGCAATTTAGCCAATTCGATTCACAGATGAATGTTTGTCTGATTGTGAAAATTAAAGTATCAGATAAAACTGTTTACTGTATTTTTCGGAGTATAAGACACACTTTCCCCACCCCTAAAAGAGGCTGAAAATTTGGGTGCGTCTTATACTCTGAATGTAGCCCTGCCTACCCACCGGCCCCCACCCTTCGGCCTCTGTGCAGCCTCTTCCTGCCTGCAGAGATTGCTACTGACAACAGCTTGTGTTTTGGGCTCAGCGCATTGCATTTTTGGCCTCCAAATGTTCCATTTGAGAGCCCTTCAAGGCTGTGGGGATCGCCAAAGCACATTGCTGCTGATCACCACCAGAAAATGCAATGCGTTTGGAGGCTTAAAACCAAACGTGTGGTGCCCAAAATGGTTACCTCGAACAGCTGCTGCCTTCTCTTACCGCTTCCAAGCTTCACTGGAGATCCTTCCAATGATCAGCTGTGCTTTTGAATCTTTTTATCAGCCCTAATGAGGCCTTAGCAATTTTCCGCACTTTGCCTGCTTTTCTCATTGCTGTTCCCTCCTACAATCAGCTGTGCTTTAGAAACTGTTTTTAAGCCCCAACCAGGGGCTTTTGAGCGCATGCTCAAAACCAGCGAACTAAGGCTAGGGCTAAGGATGCTAGCTAGATGAATATTTGGTAGGCAGAATTTTTTTTTTCCTATTTTCCTCCCCAAGAACTAAGGTGCATCTTATACTCCGAAAAATACAGTACTATGCAAACAAATAGCTGATTGTTGGAATCAGCTTTCAAATAGAATTTTATATGTGTAAACTGGACAAACAAATGTAATATAGAATGGTTTTGTTATTGTTTTAGTTCCCTTTCATAATATTCTACTCCATTTTTCTCCATGCTAGTTTTCTTTCCTTTTTCCTCTACCCCTCTCCCCATGAAATACTGATTCAATTGCCCGTTAAGATCTGCCAATTCTATTTTTTTTAGTTTTATTTTTTGAGAGGCAGGTAAGTATTTTTCATCTTTCAGTATGGAAAATCATTGCCATTTTTCTTCTTTCATATGTAAGTTATTTCTTTGATATATGTGTGTATATATCTCTGTATGTAAACATAAAGCCTCTTTGGTGTAGTGGTTTAAGGCATCAGGTTAGAAATTGGGAGACCATGATTTCTAAGTCCACCTTAGGCATGAAGCCAACTGAGTACCTTTGGACCAGTCACTTATACTCAGCCTTAGGATGACAGATCTGCTGGATAAGTAATATTTTGAACAAATTTAGTTACATATTTCTACTGCTGTGTAAATTATATGCTCATATAAAAGAAGTAAAATAAAAAATAAATGTAATATTATTACTTTTATTCCATCATTATCAGTAACAGTAATAATAATATATAATATTTGTGAGTTTATATAAATAAAGAACAGTATTTCTGGAAATGTAGCATATTAAAATTTCAATATTCCCTCATACCCAAACCCTGAACATAAGGTTTATAATATATGCAAATAAGATATGCTACAGAAGAATAACTTTAATTTTTAATAAACATTCTTGATGGATAAAATTCTTTTTTTTTCCTCATTGCTTTTAAGTTTAAATTGGTATGGTATAATAGGAGACTTTAAATCACAGATGCCACTTTAGTTAGAAAATTTTCAAATAACATATAATTTCCCTTGAAGAATTCTGTTTCCTTTATTATCTACATTCAAACACAGCTGTGTGCAAAATCTTTAAAATGTAACTATGCTGGGGGGGGACAAGATTGTATGGTAATTAAGCGATGTACTGGGATATTTATGAAGGACACTAAAAGTAATTGTTAGTTTTCGTACATTTTTATTGGTATACTTTAAAACTCATTAAGTGGTCACTCAAAATATATGAAAGAAAGGAATCTTTTAACATCTAGCAAACCCATCTAGACCAATTTTTAGATGAAGGTAAATACACATGTCCCAGGATAATGTTGCAGGATCCAATCTGAATCAGTCATCATAACCAAAGTTTTATTTTTCCAAGCTTTCAGTTCATGCTGGAGCCATCCTCAGAGAACTTCTCTCTCTCTCTCTCCAGGATATGTGCACTGGGCTGTTCCATGTGTTATATTTATATGGTGCCTGATTGTGTATAACTTTTAGTTGTTAGACTGTTGATGGCTGGCTATGAAGTAATATATTGTTGTTTCCTTTTGCCACTGCACGCTTGACTCCTAAGTATTAGTAGGCTGGTGGTAAATCAGACTGACAAGGCACCTCTTTCCCAGGCTTCAATCATTTCTCTGGCTATTTTTGTCCGTGCTTGGCCAACAATCATAGTAGCTGCAAAATTGAATACATGTCCTTATTCATTGCAGTGTGAGGCTATTAACAAGTTTGGGTCTCCCTATCTAACCTCTCACTCGTATTCTTGAAAACTGGTGGATAGCTTCCTCCAGATTTGTCCTACGTGGTCGTAGGGGCAATCCATATAGGGAAACTGATAACTTACATTTGAAGTTTCTCTCACCTCCAAACAATATTTGTAGTGCATGATTTGTCCTCATACTGTATGATAGCCTCTGGGCAGTGGGTGATGTCCACTTGCAAAGTTGTGTTATACTGCTTCTGAAATGTTCTTAATATATGACAGGTTGTGCCGTACAGTTAGTCTTGTACCTTCTTTCTTCCTTTCTCTTCCTGCATATTATGCAAGCAATTTGTGGGTACCCATTCTGCCTGAATTGTTCATGTAGGAACCTCCTCTCCAGTTGTTTTGCGTGCTGGATACTACAGTGTATTCTCTACCTGTTATATAGTATTCTGATCCAACTCTTTTCATGAGACAATGAATGGTTACTGTTGAAGCTAAGAGTGCATGGAGTGATGGTAGCCTTGCAATAGACTTTGGTTTTTGGGGTTCTATCTTCTCATCTGTTGATAAGCACATCTAAAACTGGCAATTGTTTAGCTGTTTCTTCCTCAACTGCGAATTGTATATCCAAGAAGATGGATGTTTTTTTTTTATTTGCTGAAAATGTGGTAAGAGAAACAGAAGGTAAAAATCATTGACTTTTTCAATTTGTATATAATTTTTTAAACTAAAAAACAGGAAAGCAGGAAAGAAAATCCCAGCATGTATTAATGTTATTGTCAGAGAGGAATTTCAAATACAATCCAAATACAAAATTGCAGGTCAGGGAGTAGAAATGGTAAATATGAGATTAATACTATTTTAGAGATCACTGAACACATTGCATTATTGTTTCAATGTTATTTCCTTACTTAAACCTACAAAATATCCATGGGTGGGCAAAAAGCAGTGGGAGTAAGCGAAACTTCAGATTTTCTGCAGGCTTCCCTAATTGATTTTCCTTATGAGAAGATAGCAGGGACAATAAGAAATTAATTCCTTCCTTCCTTCTTTCCTTCCTTCTTTCCTTCCTTCCTTCCTTCCTTCCTTCCTTCCTTCCTTCCTTCCTTCCTTCCTCCCTCCCTCCCTCCCTCCCTCCCTCCTTCCTTCCTTCCCTCCCTCCCTCCCTCCCTCCCTCCTTCCTTCCTTCCTTTGCATGTGTGAGTAGCATAAGTCAGGAAGAGTATCTAGAAGTGGACCAGAGGTGCACAGGGGCAGCACAGATCAAGTGTGTATGTGGGTCACATGTTCAAGAAATGCTACATGAATAAAGTAGGACATGCAGGAGGTGACATAGTACAAAAAGAATGCATGGGGTTGCAAGGTATATGAGAGCTGCTGGACCATTTGGGAATGGTGCACAGGAATGGGACATGGTGCCTGGGAATGCTTGAGATTACCCAAGATGTGCTATAGAGGGACACAGTCCCTTCCCAGCAGGCAAAGAAGATGAGATGTGGGAGGGTATGTGGGGGTATGCAAGAGAGACTGTATATGCTAGGAAAGGCATGTGAGATGTGACACAAGTCAGGAAGCATGTGTGGGTGCACAAGAAGTCCTGCACAGGTTATGAAAAATATGCCAGGGATTGATGTGAGTCAGGGGCGATGCATGTGATATGCAACATGTATTGCAAGAATTGCGGAAGATATGCTGGCAGTAGTGCAGGTTGAGGAAGATGCATGGGAGACAGCATAGATAAGGAAGCATGAGGAGTATGGCATGGACCTGGAAGGGTGCATGGGGAGGGTTTCTTCCTTCATGTTCCTTTCTTCCCTTTCTTGATCAGCAGGGACGTAAGTAATTGCTGCTGAATGGGAAATAGTGAAGGATAGTGAGACAGGCTAAGAAATTGTCACAGAATTATCACATGGCTACAATAGCAGCCTAGCAACAGTCAATAGTGCTGAAGGATTCACAACTTCTTCAAAAAAAAAAATTCTTGGGTGCCGTAGGTCTCAGATTTTGGACACATTCTATAAATTAGCCCATTAAGGTTTAAAAATTGTTATCCTAATGCACTATTTCTCCTAATGAAAGGTCATGACAACTAGAGTTGTAATAGTATATAGATCATATTGCCCAATGATTGAGCTTGTAAGCATATTCAATAGATGTACGAATACAAGCTGGAGACTTGGTTCATGAAATGCTTTTTTCTAGGACCAAGGATAAGCAATTTCACAACTCCCACTGATAATTCCTATTGATGCATGTAAGATCAAATGATTTGTGAAAAAGAGCCAGATACTCACAGACTTTCAGCAGTCTAGAGATTCAGGTGATCTGATCAATTTCAATTTTATAAAAGAGGACAAGTAAGGGAATAATAATGACATAAAGTAAGGGAAATTAGTAACTAAAAATATATGGGATAACTTTATGATCATGGTCGGAATTAGTTGGAAAATGAGCAGTAGCCAAAATTAGGAGTATTTTAAATTGAATCCTATAAAGGTTGGATGTTACCTAAAGAGTGTACATAGTATAACATTGGCTAGTGCCCTTCATGGCTTCATTGTCTATACTATATATTAATCTCATGGTATGAACACCAACAAGATAGTTTTATTGGTTAGTACAGAAGGCTAAACTATATTACATTTCTTGTTCTATTCTATGCCTTTTTTTCTTCATCCCTTTTTAGAACATTCACTTTTTGAAGCAAAAAAATCCCCCTCCATTTCCTGTCTTGTCTTTAACATTATATTATAAAATTAAAAATATATACATTCTTTCTTAATTAGATTATGATTGAAATGGAAATATAATGCTATATAATTTGCCCCATAATGTGGTTTGGTTTGGTTTCTTTAAAGGGTTGTTTTGTTTTGTTTTTTCTTGTTTTTCTTGTAGGTCAGTCTTGATTATTTTATTTATTCATTTATCAAGTATGTATTAGATAATATATATAAGTATAAGCATGAAATGAATACAAATAAAGGGAACATTAGGACAGGGATGGTAGGCATTCCTGATACTCTTATGCATGCCCCTTACAGACCTCTTAGGAATAGGGTGAGGTCAACAGTAGGCAGTCTTAGGTTAAAATTATGGGGGTTTGGGAATGAAACCACGGAGTCAGGTAGTGCATTCTGATTACTGATTACAATGATGATGATGATGATGATTAAATTCTGATTACTGGCAACTATGTGGACAAGTCCATATAGGTTTCAATATGTTCAGCAGATATTTGCCGTTGTTTACTTCCTAGGACTAAGAGAAACTGACTAACTCAAAGACATCAACTTGACTGCTAAGTCAGATCTCTCTCTCTCTTTCTCTCTCTCTCTCTCTGTTGTGTGTATGTATGTATATATATATATATATGTTTGTGTATTTTGAAATAACAGAAAAAACAAAAGGAATAATACACAATAATTATAAAAAAATCATAAGTGGAATGTTAGAATTACTTGCTAGCATGGTAAAGGTTCAGTTATTGCACTAATAAACACATACATTCACAATTATTAGTGGAAGCCAGGATTATATATCATTTTAAGAACCAATAGTCATAGGTTGGAAAGGCAGCTTCTATCAAATTCTTGTTGGAGATTTTTCAGATAAAATCACTTACCAGGATTGATATTGATGCATTATTTCATCTATAAAAATGTGACTTGTCACTTCCAAATTCATAATCATAACTCTAGGGTGGATCTGGGTTCTATACCTGTCCCAGGTGGAATACTATATTCACTCTTCTTTTGGAAATTTATGCTCATTCTCCTGATATCAAGTTCTTGGTAATACAAAATAGGTAAGGATTGTCCTGGCATTTAAAACCATTTTTCTCAGTATTTTAATATTGATTTGTAAATGTCACCATATTTCCTCTTGATAAAAATGCTGCTGGAGCCCTTGGGAGAATGTTCTGACTTCTGCTACAATTGCTGTGTGGCATCTTAAAAAAACATATTGCCAAAGTCCCTAAATCTCTGGAATCCATTATACCGATATTACACATACAAATGGGCCCACATAGACTTTGAATATAGGGTCCAACAACTGTCTGCCTATGGAAATACAATTCTATATATTCATGGTATAATATTAGAGAACTGAAATTTTAACTGTCGGCTAGTGGGAAATCTGTCTGAATGGTTTATTCAAGCGTACAACCATGCATTTAAAATAATGTGTTTGTTATTCTTCTGCTACCCATGTACCAATTATGGTTTCCAGATCTGTTTTCTAAAAAGAGCTATTATGTTTAAGGAAAGAACTATATTATGCACATATATCAAAATGGGATTTTGTGAATCTGTACAGATGGAAGAAATTTAAAAAAAATACTACTAATACTTCTGGCTTTTCTTGTGCATTCTAGAAAAGGATTCCATTTTTATTTTTCAACATATGTTTTATTTTTCTAGAGATCATTCTTGGACTCTGTATTTTCTATATCAAGCCAGGTACTAAAATGGCATAGTACTTCCTGCACTTGGTTTGGTGTCATAAGACGCACATTAGCTTTAGAGGAGGGGGAAAAAAAATCTGCCTCCCAGCATCTATCCGGTATTCCTCTGGCTAGCGTCCTTGCAGCAAATGGCCTGGTCAGCTTTAGCATGTTGTTGCAGCCCCAGCACGTGGCTTTTTAGGGCTCCACTCCATCGCGCCCACCATTGGTCAACTGAACTGAGCTGCTGCTGCCACCAGGGAACACTGGAGCCTTCGCTGCCAAGCAGCTGATTGGCAGTTGAATTGGCCTCCCAGAATACTGCTGATCAGTTGTTCTAGGCGGTGATGATTACCAACACCACCTATCTCTACCGCCGCCATTCAACGGCGGCGATCAGCAGCGGTGATCCCCACTGCCTAGAACAGTTGATCAGCAGTATTCTGGGAAGCCAATCCAACTGCCAACCAGCCGCTCAGCAACAAAGGCTCTAGGATTGAATGGCGGCAGCATCAACCCCCCTCCCCCCACTTCAATATTCGCTCTATAAGACACACAGACATTTCCACCCACTTTTTTGGAGGGGGAAGTGCGTCTTACACCTTGTTTTTTCGAAAATACAACAGGGTCTTATTGTCTTTTGACCGCCGAAAAAACAGCTAGGCCTTCTTTTCAAGGGGTGTCCTAATTCCCCCCCCCCCAATGCACCTCGCTTGGCTGCCGGGTCACTTCTTTCACAGCCGAAAAGAGTGAGCGATGTGCGCTGCCTGGCCGCTGGGCTGAAAGGAGCGACCCACTCGCCATGTACTGGTATGAGGCGGGGGAAGTGAGCTGGGCAAAAAGTGTGTGGCAGTTCAAGCCGTCAAAAGTCCTTCTGTGTGTGAAAGAGAGAGAGAGAAAGAGAAACAGCAGAGGGAAACTGGGCAAGGAGACTAAGCCTCCCCTGCCCAGAAGCAACGTGCAGCTTCTCACAGTAACAAGAACTGCAGGCAATTCTGGAAGATTGTGGGAATCAATTGTGCCTGCAATTCTTGTTACTGTGAGAGGCTGCATGTTGCAAAGAAGAATGAAGTGGGGAAGTGGGGAGGACGAAGCAAGGCAGGGTGTACAGAGCTGCCCCATGTGTTCCGCACCAGCTTACCTGAAGGCCCTTCAGCCAGGCCACCCATGCCAAACCCTCACTGCAGCCTACCCCTAGAGAAGCCATATCTCTTCACTAACCTGCTTTCCAGCTCCGTTCTCAGCTGTATGTGCAGGGCAAGAAAAGTAGTTTGTGGGACTACAGTTAAAAAAAATAGTTCAGACCTTCCAACTTCTCATGAAAAAAAAAAAAAAGATCTCGCGAAGTTGGAAGGTCTGAACTACCGTAATTTTTTTTACCTTCCTTACTCTCTCTCTGTGTGTGTGTGTGTGTGTGTATGTTTGTGTTTGCGTGTGAATATTTTTAACACCTAAAAGAAAATTATTTGTAATTGTATATATGTGTGTATAAATGATTCCCTTTCCCTTAATGATATTAACTTCATTTACCAGGGGGCTTCTTTATAACCAATTCAGTCTTTTTCCATTGAAGGTCCTAAATAGGGGAGAATCATGCATGTATTGTCTGAACCTTATCGGACAAAAAAATTATTTATAAATGTAATAAACAATAAAAGTTAGTCTTATGGTCTTATTCTTTTATCAAAAACTTGATAAAATTGTGAATATAAAAACAGTAGGAGTAGATTTATGTTGTACATTAATACTTGGGATATGTTATTTATATTTCAGCTGGGAAGTTCTGAGATTTCTTCTCTCCAATTTAAGATGGTGGAAAGAAGAGTATGCCTTTGATGGGTTTCGATTTGATGGTGTATCATCTATGCTATATCATCATCATGGAATTCGTAAGTTTAATTTGTATATCAGTGACCATAATCACAATTCAAATAATTAAGAGTTTCATCTGAAAACCTACAGTAAATCCTATAACTTGCATTTATGGCACTTGACACTGTTATTATTTATCATATTAGGTGAAGGCTTTAGTGGAGATTACAATGAATATTTTGGTATGCATGTTGATGAAGATGCACTGGCCTACCTAATGATGGCAAACTACATGGTACATATTTTGCATCCAGAATGTGTAACTATAGCAGAGGTAAATCTTAGAGTACATTAACACAATTACTTTGACTTATTTATTTGAAAGCTGTTTTAAACAAATCATTATTCAGTTACAGTTATATTAATTTCAGTTTACTAATGTTTAAGTATGATGCAAGATTTGTTAAACATTTTACTAGTTTCAGTTGTAGAATTAAATATATGCTGTAAAGTATATTCCTGTCCAAGTGTATTCCAAGACAAATCCCACTGAGTTTAGACATACATCAGCAAGTATTTCTAAGATGCAGCCTAACTATAATATGATCATTAGAATTGTCCTAAAAGTGCTTTCTCAGTTTCTGACAGAACTAAAGAAGTTTCTTGGATAAGAAGTGAAATGTCTTCAAGGAAAAACAAAATCCAGTTTCCTTTTGCCTTTTGGGACCACCACGAGTTGAATGACTGAAAATTTCTATAGAGATCATTAGAATTAGAATTCTTTTCAACAACTAACTTTCTCATGACTTAACTCTTTTATAATGTATTTATGACTTTGGAAACTCACTATACTGCCAAAGCAACTAAATTTTTATGTATCTTTGTAACAACAACCTTTATGAGGTCCTAATGTTCCTCCTATTTCTAATTCATTATGACTATTATTTGATAAATGCAATTCTTTGTCCATGAATTATAAATAACAATATATTTGCCAGAATTACATTTAGAAGATATTGCTAGAATTGCTGTTATTACAAGTAAACAAGTACTTCTAGAAATCTTTATACGTTTTTATCTCTTAGTGTTTAGCATTTTTAACTGTTTAACATTTAAATTGTACTGGTCTTGGTCCTGGAGAAGTAATTACAATGCATTTTAAACAAAAACTGGTGAAATGCAGCAACTATGGAATGTATTAAACTTAAAATTGTTTTATTGATTTTGAGGTTCTTTTCAAATAAAATGAGTCCATCATCCAGTAAGCCATAATAAGGTGATCAGGATTCCTATTTTATAATCTTTTTGCATTTTCTCATATACTTTCTTTGTAAACAAGATATTCCTTCAATTTATTCTAGTTAAATTGAAAATTACTTCAACTTTATTTTCTAGTGGGAGCCTCTGTACAAAATGTGGAATTGATCCACTTGCTTGTGGCAGAAATAAATGAGGAGGGAAGAACTATTGATATTATTCTAAATTACAAGTGGCTAGTGTGAATTTGATCTTACATGCAAGTGAAGTGAATTCTAAAGAAAATGCACACATATAGTCTAGGGCAGATTGGTTATAATACTATTCCACAAAAAATTGAATCATAATTTATATAACTTTTTAAAACTATTCTGGGTATTTTCCAACAAAAGAGATCTAATCCAGTTTCCTATACGTTGAAAAAAATATAAGTAACAGTATTGATAATATTCCAAATCTAGAATGGGTCAACTCAGCCTGGTCAATTTTCTGCAGCCACCTTGCTGTAGCCAACTTGCCAAGGGACAATTCAATGCTGATAACTCAAGAGAGAGAGAGATTACAGCTCATCTCAGCCTTGAGGAGCTTCAAACCTAAAGCAAGACAAGGCCCGACGCAATTCATTTGTCCCTTTCTTGAATTATCCTGCATTGAATTGTCTCACGGTGAGTAGTCCCGGGGTGAGACAACCAGGGCAAGATGCTGGAGTAAGTCAGCTAGGGCGAGTTGTCCTAGACCCTTCCAAATCTACTTCTGTTATACAGAAGTATATAAGTATATTAATTAATTAATTATGCAATTAATTATTAGCAAGTGAAAAGACAGTTTGAATAGCCATCAAACTGTTGTCCTTCATTAGTATTTTCATTAGTATGTATTTCAAATACATATCATGTACTGACTAATATTCACAGTATTTTGCAGCATGAGAAAAAATATAAATAGGAAACAACTTGCTTTCATAATGTTTATGCCATAGGAATTGCAGATTAATGTATTGTGATTCTTTAATATTGAATGAGATTGAAAATATTTTCATTATTTATGACTGAATAGTAATTCTTTTGGTGGATCTCTCTCCTTATTTTCAATTCCAGATATTCTTATTTTATGTTATTTTATTACTTATCAACTAACTTTGTATAATTTTTCCAGGATGTGTCTGGAATGCCAGCACTTTGTTGTCCAATAATTGAAGGAGGATGTGGATTTGATTACCGGATGGCCATGGCAATTCCTGACAAATGGATTCAGGTGAGAATTGATTCCTTCTGTGCTTTGCCACATTTTTCACTCATGCTTCCATTGGTAAAGGTAAACATAAAGCTTTCCCTATCCACTCGTATCTGACTCTAGGAGGCAGTATTTCCAGCCAAGGGAGCCAGCATTGTCCAAAGATTCTTTCGTGGTCAATCTGGCCACCAGGATTCTACATTGAGGTACATGGAATGCAGTTACCTTCCCACCGAAGTAGTACCCTATCTACAATATTTGCATGCTTTCAAACTTGTAGGTTGACAGGAGCTGGACCGAGTAATTGAAGCTCACCCCATCATATGGTGCTTAGGTCTTGACGGCCCAGCATCTTAATTGCTAGGCCACCACATCCCCATTTTCCAATACATGTAATTAAATAATATCAAGTAATTATAATATGACACATGCGTCTATGAACTGGGTTTCCATAATTTAGACAAGAAAAATGTAGTAATCACCCACTCACTCCTATTCTCTGTTCTAATTTTTTTTACCAAAGAAGAAAGAAAATGCCTTCTATATTTATTTAGCCAATTTTCCCAATTTGTGTTTTTAGCATCTAATTAAAACTCCCATGTGTATTGGAATTACAGTTCCCATCATTCTCAGCCAGTGGTCTCAAAACTAATCTGGAAGCTTCAGAAAGTTATGCTTATATAGAATACTAAGCTTTGTGTCTCCAAAGTTCAATGTAACATATGACTAATTATTCTACAATTATATTTGATTGTTTGGCTTTTATTTTTGTGGTTTTGTGGACAGAATTTTGATAATCCTTACAGCAAGCTTAACTCCTAACAAAATGGAGATTAAAAATGTATCTGTTATGCACATGAAATTGTACAATGATTTTATAATACATTAATTGCATATTTATGAATCTAGCACCTTAACTATTGCCAAACATATTTGTACAAAAAGCTTGCCAATGTTGCACTCTAGTGATAAAAACTAAGAGCAAATATTTTTAATTTCTTTAAGAACAAAAACAAAAAAGATGAACGCTAAACAAATGGAAGCTTTTCTTGGAGGTTATTAATGTTTCCATAAATAGAGAAATAATTGAATTTTGGAAAAATTATTTTAGAAGCATTACTATAAATTAAGACATTGCACCTGTGTACAGATCTATGTTTATAAGCTTAACATAATAGTATATATCTTGAGTCAGACCTATATGTAGTATAGGTCTACATACATTCCTACATAGTGTAGTATAATAATATATTTCATCTTTGTAAAATATGCAATTGTGTATCCCTTAAATATGTATATTATTCTACAGAACAATTCATTTTTAGGTGTTTAAACACATACTTTTGAAACAAATTTGATCTTTTTCCTGTAGACAGAATATTTATTAATGTTGCTTCAAGGTATATTTTCCCTATCATTAGCTAATTTCTTTTTAAGAAGTCTAAAAATGTTATCAGATGACGTCAAAGGCATATTGCTAGTACAGATCATTTATTAATTGTAAAAAGATTCTCTCATTCTTGTGCAATTGTAAATCTATAAACCATAAACCACAGGTCAAAAATTTTCATAATGTAGTATTTTTTCTTTTATGTACACTGAGAGCATATGCACCAAGACAAATTCCTTGTGTGTCCAATCACACTTGGTCAATAAAAAATTATATTCTATTCTAGTCTTCATTATGTCAGCTGATACTTGGTTTATTATCAACTAATTCTTGCAGAATAGTGGAAAAGAAATCTTTGTCTTTCTTCTCCTAATGTAAAATGCAGCTTAAAGTTTTGGCATTGTTTCTTGTCCAGAATAGGCATAAATTCTTATTCGTTTGTCTGTCCTTTAATTTCTTCAAAGTTACATGAGACATAGATGCTATTGTTTATAAAATAATTTCAAAGAGTAAAAAAGGGGGGGGGAAATAAATAAAAGTCAGATGTGACATAGACAAATTGTCGTATTACTTCTCAATAATGTTCCTATTTGATTCACACAGGATATTGTAAATTAAAGATATATAGTACATGTCAGTGCTATGGGAATTTAGAACAGAAAAACATAAAGTTTTGTTTCCTTTAGTGATTAAAATTGAAGATTGGAAAAGTTTATGTTTGCCATGTGTCCTTCACTGTCTTGATTTGTATTTTTAATTAACATACTCCATATTTTAGCAGAATTTATATTCTATGTTTGTCTTCATTTGGATAAGATTTCCTTTTTTATTTTTTGGTTTTAATAGCAAATCTGATTCTGCTTTGGGTTAATATGAGCTTTCACAATGATGTTCATTGCGTTCAGTGACGTTCTTGTGATTTTGATATAGGATTTTGTGCTTTCTTTAACATACAGAATAACATTCCTAATACATATTTCCCCATCTTATTTCACAGCTTATGATAATAATGACTCGCTCATTATTCAATTTCCACCAAAATTTTGTAATGCTTGCTAGATTTAACAATTTAACTCCCATTTTAGCACAAAATTTGCTGGTACTATAGTTCCACCCAAGTATATCAGGACCATTCAGCTTTCTCTAACTAGAAATTATCTGTCCCACACTCAAATCCCTTCATCATCTTTGTATTCTTGACTAATTGAAGCTTCCAGTTATTCAAGAAAAACAGAATAACAAGGGACCTTGGAGGTCTTCTAGTCCAACCCCCTGCTCAATCAGGAAAACCTATACTATTTCAGGCGAATAGTTGTCCAATCTCTTTTTAAAAACCTCCAGTGATGGAGCACTCACAACTTCTGGAGGCAAGTTCTTCCACTGATTAATTGTTCTAACCATCAGGAAATGTTTCCTTAGTTCTACGTTGCTTCTCTGCTTAATTAGTTTCCATCCATTGTTTCTTGCCTTCTGGTACTTTGGAAAATAAATTGACCTCTTCTTCTTTGTGGCGGCCTCTTAAATAGTGGAACACTGCTATCATGTCACCCCTAGACCTTCTTTTCATTAAACTAGACATACCCAATTCCTGCAACCGTTCTTCATACATTTTAGCCTTCAATGCCCTAATCAACTTAGTTGCTCTTCTTTGCCGTCTTTCTAGAGTCTCAATTGGCCTAAATGTGGAACCTTACTTTTGTCACCATTGAATTTCATTTTATTAGACAGAGCCTATTGTTCAAGTCTGTCAAGATCCTTCTGTATCTGAGCATATTTTCTGGAATGTTGGCTATACCCGCCAGCTTTGTATCATCTGCAAATTTGTGAGTTCCCCGTGTATCCCTTAGTCAAAATATCTTGGGATACCCCACTGCATACTTCCCTCTATGTCAATGCCGTTCCAATGCTGGCCCAGGTAGCATGCATTGCAGTAGTCCACACAGGAGGTGACCAAAGCATATGTGACTTTGCACAGTAAAGTTAAATACATAATTAGCAAGGTCTAAAGTTCTCTGTCATCATTCTGACACTGTAATATCACATTACTTCATTGTGGTATTTATTGTTACTTTTTATTTGCACACTACTCTTCAAATACTGAATGAAGGAGAATATACATGCCCCAGGATATTGTTGCAAGATCAAATCTGGGTTGGTCACCGAGATCAGAAATTTAATCTTCCAAACTTTCAGATCATGCTGGAGCCCATCCTCAGGGTCCTTCTCTCTAGCAGAGTGTGTGCTTTGGGCTATTCTGTGTGTTGTATTTATATGGTACCTGGTTGTGTGTGGCTTTTTAGTTGCTGATTGGGGTGCTGATGGCCAGCTATTAAATTGTTGGCTTAATTTTTTCCTTGTACTGCCAAGCCCTCACCTCCTGAGTACTTGATAAGCTGGTGGTAAATCAGCACTCTTGTTGATCAACTCTTCCTATATTGTATGCCATAAAATTAAATACACAGAAATAATTTACCTTATTTCAATTAGAGCTAATACATTAATCAAAGGATTATGCAGCATTGCATAGCAAGAAACAAGCAGATAGAGTGGTGAAATTTGTGTTTAATCAACCATAAAAGTGATGGCATGTAGCCCCTACTGTTTTACAGAAATAGAAAGAAAATGAATTTAAGATATGAATAGTTAATAAGTTGTTGGCAGACATTTTGGAAGAAAAATAATGCTTTACTTCAATTGTTATGTATATTAAAGACAAGCACAACTTTACTGGTAACTTTATGAAAAAGTCCTTGCTATGTTCTTGGCTATGATAGAGGCATAATTTTCTTTTTCTATTTTTTGAAGAAGGAGGATCTTATATTTTACTTTTGATTTTAGTTTACAGCCATGCAATTTTCTGAAGATTTCTTTTTCAAATATTAAGTAGGCCTGACTTTGTTTGAATTATTTCAAGATACGTCATGTTTAGTCATGTTTTGTTAATTGTTGTGTGCTATATTAGTTGTGCTATGATGTGAAACTGGACCAGAATCACATCCCACACACGGTAACTTAACATTTCAAAATTTATGAATGAGACACTGATCATGAACAGTTTAATACTGTAGGATAAATTGAAAAAAAATGATAAGAAAATAATTCAAAATTATCCTTTTTAATTTTCAGATCATTAAGGAGTGTAAGGATGAGGACTGGGACATGGGAAACATTGTGTTTACTTTAACAAACAGGCGATATGGAGAGAAGTGCATTGCCTACGCAGAGAGTCATGATCAGGTATTGTAACAATTCAGCAGTTCATGTCCACAACAATTAGAATTAGATTGCAGCTATCCATCTTTAAAATATAAAGGAAAAAAAGAGAAAAAAAGAAATACGAATTACTTAAAAAAAAAAAAAAGGCTCCGTTTTTAAACACAGCATTACAGAAATGCTGTGAAAGCCAGTACATATCATCTGTCCTTGACTGAAAATCTGGAATGACATTCTGGTTTTTTTTCTATTGTAAAAGAGTTATATGTTTTGTTATGTCCCATGCTTGACAGATATATAGTTCTTCAAATAATAATATATTCCAGATAGTTTGTATGTGGTTCGGAATCAACTTTAAACCATATTATTCTTCCCAAAAATCCTATTAAGAAATTATGAATACTACTAACTCAAATGGGACAATACTGAGATGAACCCACCCTAGCCAGCCTATAGAAAATCTGAAATTAAAATATAACAAATGTCTGAAAAATTATTCTATCTTTCTATCTCTTGTTTTCTCTCTCTCTTGTGTACTTTTCTATTTATTGCTACAGTTAATGGGTTGATGGAATATGATAGAATAATCCAGAAGTCATATCTTGAAACTGCTTCAGATTTTCCATAAATTAAGCCTATATTTCATAGGTATACAATGTAGAAATAAACATTTATTTAAGTATTACTTAAGAAATATTTTAAAAAATAAGTATTTCTACATTATATAACTTGAAAATGTAAAATGTCTTCGTTGTCCTCAAATACTCAATATCCCCAAATATTAACTTTCATCAATAGCATATTTTCTTGCTTTTGATCATTATTGATCACCAGAAAGCAGTCAGTATATGACTGGTTTCATCCCTCATGGAATTCAGAAGGTACAGAAGGTCTTTATAGTTAGTTCAGACTCTTCTGTTTCTGATTTTATACACAGAGAAATTCATAAATGCACTCACTGAGTTGTTAGACAATGGTAAGCAATTTACTAATTGCTAAATAGGGAAACAAAGGAAATTTGATTTCAAACCCAAAATATCTTGAGATAAAACTTTCCTGAGTAGTTTCATATTATAAGATCTCCTAGATCCTTCCAGTCCTAATTCTATGAAACTATATTTCATAGAAATATGCAGAACAGTAGTTAAGATTCAAGATTCAGTTCAATGTTCAGAGAGCCAAGCAAGGTTCATCAGCCAGTCCAACAATCAAAGTATCATATTTCTTACACAAGCAGAAGGCAATAATTCTCGAGAAATAGGAAATCAGATGAGTGTTTCCAACAAGGTTACGTGAATCAGAGATGCCTCAAACAAGGCTGCAACCCACTTTTTTAAAAAAAAATTGCAAGTAGAGCTGAGAACAGAACAAAGACACTTAATGAGGCTCTTTGCCAAGCAAGATTGTGCCTTGCTGATTGTAAAACAAAATGACACAAACTATTCTAACAGGAATGGATGAAAATCATGTGAATATAGAATGAAAAAATACATCTTTAGGCAGGATGAAGTCATGAATGAGGGCATAATAGAAGATAATAATTATATATCTCTAGTGTCAGAGCTCAAAGTAAAAAAACATATATTACTCATAAACACAGAATACCCTATATTCATCTATAAGATGTCCTTAATTTATGTCCTATAAAACATTAATATCATAAAAGATTTTTTTTCTCTGCCTCATTTCTTGCCTCATTTATTTATTTACCAAGGCCCTTGTTGGTGATAAGACTTTGGCTTTTTGGCTGATGGATGCAGAGATGTATAACTATATGAGTGTTCTGTCACCTTTCACATCAGTTATTGATCGAGGAATACAGCTTCATAAAATGATACGACTCATTACTCATTCTCTTGGAGGAGAAGGCTATCTCAATTTCATGGGTAAGTCATTTGGGATATTACTTTCTGATTTCCTTCAGCATAGTATACCTTGTGATGACATTTTCTTTTACAAATTAGACATGTTTATTGAACTTAGTTAAAGGCTATAGAATGATCCTGTACATGTATAATGAGGATTTCCATTAATTTCCATAGATGTTGCTCCCAGTTGAGGTGATAGTCGATAGCAACCTAAGCATGATTATAATTCATAAATGGTTGATTGTGCTGCACAATTGACCTTGGAAGAGATTTGTGTTTGTGCTATTGAATAATTACTGATTTATTATAATATTTTATTGATTTATACAAATATGAGGCAAATTAATTTAGAGATTTTTGTAACTGTCTTACCAAAGGCATATGGCTCTAGGATCTTTGTGTGCTTTTTGGTAAGTAAATAAAAATGTTCCCACTTTTATGACTGGATAAGTAAGTATAACTACTGTCAAATTTGAAATAGATTTCTTAAATTATATTTTATCCACAAGAATATGTTGGCTAATATTAACAACTAGTAAGAATAAGAATAACTAGTAACCTAGCAATTGCATTATTCTCCTTCATGTTGGCTAACTATATTTGGTTATGAATCTGAACATATGTGCTTGACTGTTTCTGCTATTTCTGGCACTGCTTACATTAAAATTTGTGCTGAAGGAAGCACAACATTCTGACTATTCTGTAGTTTGTCAGAGATAAACAAGTTCTTCAGAAACAAAGTTATAAACTGAAGACATTTCTTCTGCCTTCTAGATGTCTAAAAGTATTAATTTACTTAAACATAAAACAATAATTGTTTTAATTTTTGTATTCTCATATTGTGTAATTCATTTTTATATCCTGTCACTTCATATCAGCTTCAAGAATAAATTTCTATATGACTAGTTGCAGATTAGGCAGAAAAATATATTTATCCTCATCAAAGTATGTTGCATCTCATCTACAAGTAGATAAGTAGTAATTTATGAGTTCTCTCTCTCTTTTTCTTAGTAAAAACAGTCTGACTGCCCAAGTCTTTTTTGGGGAAGATAGTCATTATTTTGTAGTCATTCACGTGATGCATGTGATATATATTGTGGCGCTAATACTATTCAGTTAAAGATACAGTAAAATGATTTGTTATTGCCTTTTTAAAAACTTGTACTAGATGATTACAAGAAAGCATTTTCACAATTTGTTCCAACTGCTTACTTGATTAATATTGGAACGCTGCTAAGGACAACATGTGATTTTATTGTGGCAGGGATTTAATTTTATATACCTGTGTAATAGATGAGAACCAAATTCCTGAAAACTATGTTTGATGCCAATTGTGGAAATACATTTTTTGAAAATACCTTGCCTTTCAATCTTAGCACAACTAGGTGAACCACAAAGAGACTGTTATAAATGGTATTTAAATCAACTGACTAGTCTAGGAAAGCCAATTTAGGCAATATATCAAAAATATTTTGTTGGAATAAGTTATTCTCTAGAGCAGGGGTGTCAAACCTGTGGTCCGCGGGCCACATACATCATGCATTGGCCACGCCTACCCCCCATTTAGCAAAGGGGAAAGATGTCACAATACGTCACATGACAATAACGTGACACCACAAGTTTGACATCCATGCTCTAGAATGAGCAATACTCTTTCTAAATTAAGAAACAAAAACGAAAGTTCTTTTTTAAAAAAGGCATACAGGACATATAACAAAATGAAAATATTAATGAAAATGCTGAAACTGCAAGGATAGGGTTAGTGAAACTAAAAATCAATATGTTTTGCTACGATAGTGAAAAATAACAAAAATGGGCTTTTGGACAACAAAAGGAAAATCAAGAAAGCATAAGTGATAACAGATAAGCTCAGTATGCTAGAAATGGTTAGTGGACAAAGAAGAAAGGTTTGATAACTTGGCTTGATAACTTCAAATCTGATGCAAAGGTGAACATCCAACAATTGAAAGAAGCTGTGCTTGACAGGATAGCATGGAGATCACTTTCCTGTAAAGTCACCAAGAGTTGGAGACAACTAAATGGTTAAAAAACAACAAAATACAGTTTGTGATGCAATATTCATGCTGGTTATGGACAGAAGAAAAATAAAGAGGACCAATATTTGTAAATATTTTGACATTTTATTGCATTTTAGCTCAGCAATGCAATCAAATTTAAAGAACAAAGTAAATAGAATGAAAGTGAATTGGGAAGTCAAACAACATTGTTTTTCTGGCATAAAATGCTAATTCATTACTTTCATCACACATATCCAATTTTAAAGGAATATTTTTGTTGTTTGTTATTGTGTATTGCACATATCATAGTTTCATATTTGAGTACTTTCCCTGCTTTTTATTTCTTGAAATTGCAGTTTGTATTTTTTGAAAAGGAAATAATGATCATTTTGTTGTTCAATGAGCCATTAAATATGTAACAATCTAGAATATATAATGTCTTATGTAGTTAAGTTGATTGCTAGAAATTTTATTCAAATATTATGAGTTTATATAATTATGGTGTACTTTAAAAGCTATGTTTTATAAATCAACTTTTCTGAACCTACTCATATTGAGAAAAGCAAATTGTAATGAAACACATTTTATCACATATAAGCATTTTTGGTGCTCTGAAGTGAGTCTTTATAATAAGTTTATATTTTGATTTTGTATGTATTACTGACTTTGTTCATAATACATGCTGAAGAATACAAAGCTGTTTATTTCTTGTGTTTCAAGCACAAAGAACTTTTCAAGATAGGCATCCAGCCTAGAATTTGATCTCAACAATTTATGATCACAGATTTATGTCCAGAAGAGGAATTTTTTATAGAGGTGCAACTTTTCATTTCAAATGTGTGTGTTCTAAATAGTGTCTTGATATTCTAGAATAGATAATGTAAGTAAGTCTAATGAAACAAAATATGACTTTTTCATAGTCAGAATCATGTGTAATCACAAATTATTTACTCCAGTACCAATGCACATTTTCCATTGCTTACTACAGTCTTCTCATCTTTTTTCTTTATCCAGTTGTTCTAAATCAGTGGTGGGTTTCAAATTTTTTTACTACCAGTTCTGTGGGTGTGGCTTGGTGGGTGTGGCATGGCTTGGTGGGCATGGCTTGGTAGGTATGGCAGGGAAAGGATACTCCATTCCCACCCCACTCCAGGGGAAGATTACTGCAAAATCCCCATTTCCTCCCAATCAGCTGGAAATTGGGAGGCAGAGAATAGATGGGGGTGGGGCCAGTCAGAATTTTTACTACCGGTTCTCCGAACTACTCAAAATTTCCACTACCGTTCTCCAGAACTGGTCAGAACCTGCTAAAACCCACCTCTGGTCTAAATCCACATATTTAGATTTACACAGTACTGACTATCCATAAAGAGTAGTCACTTGGTAATAGTAGTTGAAATAGAATTAATATACTCATGATGTATTTGAAAGTTTGTTTTAATTTTAAAAAAAGCTTAAAGTGAAATTGGATCATTTTTCTCCCTATGGTTTTATCAAATTACATAACATTTTGTTCTATTTTTAGAATTTCAAAGTCAGTAGTTCTGTACTAGTTAACTACAGGTAGTCCTCAACGTATGACCACAGTTGAGCCCAAAATGTATGTTGTTAAGTGAGAAATTTGTTAAGTGAGTTTTGCCCCTTTTTATGACTTTTCTTACCACATTTGTTAAGTGAATCACTGAAGTTTTTAAATTAGTAACACAGTTGTTAAGTGAACCTGCCTTCTCTATTGTCTTTGCTTGTCAGAAGATCACATGACCCTGGGAAACTTCAACCGTCATAAATATGTCAAGCATCCAAATGTAAATCATGTGATCATAGGGATGCTGCAATGGTCATAAGTGTGCAAAATAGTCATAAATCACTTTTTTCAGTGCTGCCTACCAGATTGATTTCACCCCACACCAGGCAGAGTCCCTCTACCAAGCCTGGTATCTCCCAATGATATTGGTAGAAAATGTCCATGGTGAAAGCCAACTGGCATTTTGGCATGGGGCACTTGCAGCATGGGGCAATTGGAGCCACCCGGGTTGCAAATGACTTGCTGCAAGTGCTATATGCCAAAATCCCACTTTTGACTTTTTCAGCCAGCATCTTTGAGAGTGGAAGGGCTGTCTGTCGGATGGATTTCACTCCAAAATCAGTCTGACCATATGCACACAGAAGGGAAGGGAACTACAATGCAGGGTTGAAGAAAAGAAACCTGGGATCATGAAGATCTAAACTTCTTTTCTATAGCCCTGTGCTACAGTTTCCTTCTATACATGGAAGGCAGCTCTTTTGGCCCATCCACTTAACCTATATGTTTGCTTAACAACCACGATGGAGAGAGCCAGGATTGCATCATTGAGCTGGGGAGAGGGGTTTCACATGGACCTGTCACTTAGCCACAATGACTTATAATTAAAATTCTGGGCTCAATTGTGATCATAAATTGAAAAGTAGCTTTCCTATTATTCCATTTTTAAAAAATGGCTAATAGACCATTTTATAATATATTTTTCTAAAAGCAATAAGGAACGATTTGATGAAGCATCTTTTTATAGCATTGGTATTAAGCATTTATATTTTTATTCTTGTAATTTGACAGTCTATACCAGTGATGGCTAACCTTTTTGGCATCGTGTGCCAGGAGGAGGAATGGGGCGGAGGGGTCAAGTGTGTGCCCACACCCATAATTCTATGCGCCCCGCCTCGTGCATGCACGTGACCCCCCCTGCTCCCCCCGCTCCTGGCACACGATGGCCCAGTAGGCCTGTTTTTCTCTCTCACCTGGCTCCAGAGCCTCTCTAGGAGTCTGGGGAGGGCGAAAATGGCACCGGAAGTTTCTGGCCTCTGGAGGGCCTCCAATGAGGTGGGGAAGGCCATTTTCGCCCTCACCAGACTCCTAGAAAGGCTCTGGAGCCAGGTGAGAGATAAAAATGGGCCTTTCCCACCACCTCCCAAGGCCCTCCGGAGGCAGGAAACAACTTGTTTCCCTACTTCTGGTGGGCCCAGAAGGCCCGGAAATCAGCAGGCATGCCCACTGATATGACTACATGTGCCACCTGTGGCATACGTGCCATAGGTTTGCCATCACAGGTCTATACTATAAATATATGTATTTCTTCTATGGCTCAACTTGATGTCATTTTAGAAAATATTTCCTATTGAAAATGTAAGTGAGCTTTGTTTGGATAAATTTAATTTGCTCAGTGGGAAACATTCACTCATGTGAATTTCATTGTTCATGCAGTAAACAAGGTGTTGTTGTGTTGAATGAATGTATCTGTTACTATTGAAGGTAGATCATTGTTCAGGATGAGAGCCAGGGCCACATGCTTTCTGTATATAAAATGCCAAACACTATCTTAAGGTAAAGCATTCATTCATCAAGTCATATGGAAGGTCTCAGTCATTGTAAATACAGTAACTGTAAATCAGAATGGAAAATATTGCAATAGATAAATAACATCGGTTCTGAATTTCTTTTTCATACAGTAGTGCTAATACAATGATGAATACACACAGATGCATTTTTCAGATTTCTGTTTTTATTTACACAAACACAGCGGCATGATTTGACCACCCTAAACAAAGAATTGCTTTAACTCTTGGGTAAACTGCAGAAATGTCTGAAGACCTGGCTCTGTTGACTTGCTTGGACTGTGAGTGAGAGGGACAGTTTTTAAATTGGATATATAAATAAATATAATTATATGCAGTCACAACTGCAAAGTTACCTATATGGACAGTAAGCCTGCCAGACTCATTTCTTAATCATGATGGGAAATAATTAAACAACATATATAGAGGGATTTTTTTTTTTGCAGTGAAAACAAAATTTCTTTCAGTGAGTTAAACCTTTTTTCAATATTGTATAAAATTGCAAATAAATAAGCAAATAAGTAAGTCAGAAAATTTTGAACATAAATGCATATAATAATTGAAAAGATTTTAAAGACTAATGTACAACTGAAATAAGAGATGTATCTTTTGGGTCAAATGGACAGACAGCTGGAAAATATCATGGAACTTTTTATAATTTTTTATACTATAAAAAACTGCTGAGGATGTTGCCTAGCCTGGTAATGAAACATTTGGAAATGAACCCACAAACTCGGAGAATGAACCTTTACCCTCAGTTTTTATACTGTCTGTATGGCAGTGGTATTATTATATGGTCAAAAGTGGAAGGGTAGAGCATTACTCACAATGGAGGAATGATTGCTGAAGATGAGAGATCTTGCTGAGATGATTGACATATTTTTTGTACTTTTGTCTTTTCTCCTCCTTTCTCCTCTTTATTTTACATTTTGTTAGTTTTTATCTTTTTTAAAAAAAACTTGTAACAACATTTATACAAAAATTATAAGTTTATTTGTCCATGTATAAATTTGTAGATTTGAAACTTTTTCTTTTAATTTATGGGACCTGATCCAGATTTGATAACATAGATATAATTAATTTGGAGTAGAAAAAAAGCCAATCATATCTGATGATGAAGTAGGGAAAAGTAATGCAAGTCTAGATCAGGTTAGCATTTTTGATGTTGGGATACCGGCCTTAGAATACTTTTGATGCTTGCAGAACAACATATATAAAGATAAATCATTTTGTACAAGCTATAGTGGAAAATCATGCAGGTTTATGAAAAGTAGATTGCAAATTGTTAACCTGAAAATATATAACTCGAAAGAAGATACTCTTTTAGTGTTAGTATATTCCTCATGCAAGAAACCTATTTTCTAAAGGAGTGTAATGTCTGCTTGGAAATTATTATACTTCAGGTGAGTTTTATATTTTTGGGATTTACTTCCTGTGTGTTTTCTGTTATAATAGTATTTTAGACAACTATTTTGTAATAAATGTGCAGCATAGAGCTAGAAAATTTTTTGAACTTAGCCATTTATATATTTACCCATGGTGTTTGTGTGTGTGTAGTAGTAGTAGTAGCTTACAAGGATATAAATAATCATGGATTATAATTTTGCATGTCTGTTGCTTCATACATATTAATTTATTCATGAAGCTTGACAGCTGTCATTTGGGAAGTTCATTTTTTCATATTTTTAAATGACAAATTTTAATGGCTCTTTTTAGAGCTAGTCTGTCTGGGGGAGTCTGCAAAAATATCTTGACAGGGTTATTTTGCACATTTTTGCACTAAGCTATGAAGGTACCAGATAGCTTTGTTGCTTGTCAATTTTGACACCTCTTTCAGTTTTCTTTGCAGTATAATTAAGTATCTAGTGGATCACCCAGCCTTTGTAGGCATGCTGATAGCATTTCTAGATAAACTGCTCTCAATCAATGGTAAATGCAAGTGAGTTTTGAAATATCTGAAGAACTCTAGTAGCAGTCTTTATTTAAATATACTTTGTACTGACTTTGTACTCATAAAGAATTATATAAAATAATTTCAGTTCTGGATTATAATTATTTCTGGGCATTTTGTGTTGTAGTTTTTTAAATAAATATATTACTTTGAAAACCTGATCACAAAATCAATCCATTATTGGATCTTTATTGGGAAATATTCATATTTTATAATAAAACAAAAATGTTCTAGCTTTGAAAATTTTAGGACATTACAGATGTGGTTTATTTATACACAGAATAAAAACAGCTAACCATTATCTATCTTTCTACCTTTCTATCTTACTGTAGGTTCAGAGATTCCAAAAAATCATATACCGGTATACAGTACATTAATGCATTATATAAAATCTCCACCATTTACTATATGGTCTAAACTGAAAGACACAAATTAATGTTTTGTTTTTGCTACAATCAAGTGGCAAAAATATACTGTTGTGATGTCATACATTTTACTTAAAGATACCATGTTATATCTAAAGTCAGAAATGCTATGCTACAATTATGAAAAAAATATGCAAAATATATTTATAGAAAAACATATGCTATAAACCCATGTTTTGTAGGCTGTCAACACAATGATTAGGATAATAGTATATGATTCCTCTTGAGAATCAATTTGGTGTAATGATTTAGGCATAAGCCTACAAACTGGGAGAGCATAAGTTCTAGTGCCAATTTAGGCATAAAACTAGCTGGCTGACCTTGGCCAGTCACTTTTCCTCAGCCCTAGGAAGGAGGCAAAACCACTCCTGAAAACAATTTTTATATCAACTGTATTTGGAACTTCATTTCCTACCTCTTGTAGCCTACAGGTCTAAGATTTTCAACTAGAGAGAATTGCAAAAGACAATTTCTTGGTAAATGTTTCTTTCCTTTTTTTTTCATCAAATAGATAGGGTGACTTTGAGAGTAATAATTAGTTCAAACTGGTCTTGGTCTGCTCAATTTCCTCTATAATCCATTATATTTTATAGGAAGTCATCTTGATTGATTTACTTCAACTCTCTTTCCTCAAAAAAATCTAATATATAATGACAAATAGGTTGGAGTAATAATTTTTAAATTCCTACTCATTAAGTTGGTACAATTTTTAAACAGTACATGGTAATTGAGGAGGACAAACTTGCTTAATTTGTTTAGTATCTAACAACACAATTTTTTACAGTAAGTAAAATATCATAGATAGTTTAAAGATTTCAACATTTACATTGTAACAACAGCTTTAAACATTGTTTCAGGAGGTTTTTTTGCAACTGTGTTTAAATACTTTTTCCAAGGATATTTACGAAAGATCCATTTATTTTTCATGTCTTTCCATTTTTTTAAAAAAAAAAAAAATAGGTAATGAATTTGGACATCCAGAATGGTTAGACTTTCCTAGACAAGGCAATAATGAAAGCTACCACTATGCAAGGAGACAGTTTAATTTAGCTGATGATCAACTTCTTCGCTATAGATTCCTAAATGTGTTTGACAGAGATATGAATAAATTGGAAGAAAAATTCGGCTGGCTTGCATCACTTCCGGTAAAGTATATATAATTTTAAAATGTTATATAATAGTTATATAATAGTTTTCAGCACTATGTACATTCATCATTTAATCAGAAAGAAATTGAATTTTTAAAAAATTAAGAAAGTAACTTTATTAATATTGCATATTTGTTTAAGACTGTTTCAAACAAATTATTTGTCTTGATTCCAAAATTTTATATCCAACATAACATTTTTCCTCAATTTGATTTGTTGGAAAACATGCCTTTAAAAAGTTATATAGAGTAAATCCATTCATATTTTTAACAGGTTTATTGGCTAGATACTTACAATTTCCTTTGCAATGAAAAGTATGAAATACAAAAATGTTCCACTTTCTGATACATTATTACATTTTTGCTTCTTGTGTTCACCAAGAATCTTGTTAACTTTAAACTAAACCATATGCTTACTTGTTTCAGTTAGTAATTGTAATGAATGTTTAATTCAATACAAAAATATATTAAATTTAAGTAATTTAAATTAATGGCACAATGAAGTGTGTTAATGCCTTCTGTTTGCATGAGATGCAGAGAGAAACAAAAAGTTCTTCAAGGACATTCGTGGAGATGTTTCCTGGCAAATATTTTTTGTTACTATGAAGTTTGTGTTCAAATTAAATAGTATATAATGTTACTTTTATATTATTCCTTGCAGGCCTATGTGAGTGAAAAGCATGAATTAAACAAAGTTATTGCTTATGAAAGGGCAAATCTCCTATTTATATTTAATTTTCATCCATCTCAAAGTTACACCGATTACCGAGTGGGTGTAGAAAAACCAGGAAAATATCCTTTTATCTTTATCTCATTATATTTTGCTTCACATATTGCAGTGAATGATAATTTATGGAAAAGACGATGACATCACCCTCTGCTGTTTTTACATTTACTTTGGCATACAGATAGGTCTGTATTAGTTTTGATAATGAATCCCACAAAATGATCATATTATTCTAGTATACACTATTCAAAGTAATATTTTTATGGAAGACAAGGTTTAATGAAAACAGTCAATGACCCTTCTTAACATATATGTATGTGTGTATGACAGGGACACGGTGGTTCAGTGGCTAAAATGCTGAGCTTGTCAATCGAAAGGTCGGCAGTTCAGCGGTTCCAATCCCTAGTGCCGCATAACGGGATGAGTTCCCGTTACTTGTCCCAGCTTCTGCCAACCTAGCAGTTCAAAAGCACGTAAAAAGGCAAGTAGAAAAATAGGGACCACCTTTGGTGGGAAGGTAACAGTATTCCATGCACCTTTGGCATTTAGTCATGATGGCCACATGACCACGGAGACGTCTTCGGACAGTGCTGGCTCTTCGGCTTTGAAACAGAGATGAGCACCGCCCGCCCTAAAGTCGAGAATGACTAGCACAAATGTGCGAGGGAAATCTTTACCTTATGTGTGTGTGTGTATGTGTGTGTCTGTGTTTGTATAATATAACTGTAAAAGATTAAAAGTATACTACAACTTAAATTTATTTTTTTAAAAAATATTGGGTAGTTATAGAACCAAATCTAAATATAATTCTTAAAAGTGACAAAAACACCTTTATTCTATTTCAAAATATTGTTTAAATTATATATAGCTATAAAATAAAAAGAGATATAGATGATATAAATACAGATATAGATAAGATTTCAGTTGGATAGTGTAGTGGTTAGAGAACTGCCTTCAATACAGGTTCAAATCCCATCTGGTACTTACCTTACCAATAGAGGTCTTTGGACAGAGATCCTTTAGGCTTCATCTACCTATCTCAAAGATAAGAATAACATGAACTAGGAGAGTCATGCTGGTGTGGACATGATTCAAATTAATAAAGTCCGCATTAAATATAAGGCTATTATAATAATAGATTATTCTTTTGTCAGATCTGACAAAATAATGGATTACTGGAACAAACCATGAATGAATGAAACAAGAGAACCTAGAATTCATTAACCATTGTCTACAGTTTTGTCTTATGCTTACAATAAGGTGTAAGATTAGACGGGATTCAAAAAGCAAAAGGCTGTTTAAAAGGGCACAAAGGCACAAAAGTAGCATCTGTTTTTAGTTCCTTGATTAGGCTGTTGCTTACTGTTTGATTGTCTGGCTGAATATGCAGTTCCTTAATTAGGATATTATTTAGAAATAGCACTTAGACTTACAGTATATACCTGCCCATAGTGCTTTATATAGCACTCTCTGGGCAGTTTATAATGTCAGCATATTGCCCCCAACAATTTGCGTACTCATTTTACCAACCTGAATGATGGAAGACTTAATCAACCTTGAGCACTATCAGGATCAAACTCCAGGCTGTGGGCAGAGTTTGCCTGCAATGCTAACTACCATGCCGCCAGGGCACCTGCTTATTTACTGCTGGATTGTTTGTCAGTGCTGATGTTAGTCCCTGTTTATCTGGAAGTTGATTGCTGGTGAGGTTGTCTTCTCTTTGTTGTTGTTGTTGCTTTTGTTTCCTTTTTAGTTTTTTATTATCTTTTTTTGAAAGGTGTGTAAATGTTGTTTCTGTGCCTGTTGATTGCTAACTGTCTGCATGTTAAATTTCCAGTAATTACCCATATTTTTTGGAGTATAAAACACTCTAGAGTATAAGATGCACATTAGTTTTTGTGAAGGAAGACAAGAAAAAAAATTCTGCCTCTGCCTATCAGCATCCATCAGTATTCATTTGGCTAGCATCCTTGCAGCAAATAGCCTGGTCCGCTCTAGCACGTTATCACAGCCTGATTCAGCATGAGCAGCTGATTGGCAGTTGGATCAGCCTCCTGGAATACTGACAATCAGCTGTTCCAAGCTGCGGGGATTGCCACAGCCCATGGTCTTTTCTGCGTGTCTCATTTTTGGCCTCCACACATCGTGTTTTTGGCTTCCACACACTCCATTTTAGACTCGTTCCAGGTTGCCAGGATCGCCACAGCACATTAGTACTGATCACCACCTCTGTGTGTTGCATTTTCAGCCTCCGCACATCGCATTTTCAGCTGGTTCCAAACGCCGGGGAATGGGCCAAAAACACGATACACAGAGGCAGCAATGTACTGTGGCAATCCCCACAGCCTGGAACGGGTCTAAAATGGGGCGTGCAGAGGCCAAAAACACGATGAGTGGAGGCCGAAAATGGCTGAAGGGTGGGGACTGGTGGGCAGGTAGGGCTTCGGCAACATTTGCTGTATAAGATGCATAGACATTTCTACCCATTTTTGGGGGGGATGCATCTTATACTCCGAAAAATACGGTATTTCACATTTTTTTTAATTTAGCTTAGATGCTGACAGTTTTCCAGTTGAAATTATGGTTTCGTCTGTCTATGTATTGTGAAATAAAGGAGTTTTCCTTGTATTTTCTGATTGCTAGTTGGTGTTCATGGATGCACTCTACTAGTCTTCTGCCTGTCTGTCCTACATATTAATTGTTGCAGTCCTTACGTTGTGAATAGTTCCTGTTTTTTTCCTTCTGGACTATTGGATTCTTCTTAAGACTATTGATTGGAATCAAAAGGACTAGAACATCTCAGTAGAAATCAACATCCAAATAACAGGAATTAATACCAGATGAACAATCAAGCAATAAATAATCTAATTAAAGAACTGTCAACCAACTTGAAATCAACCATTGATTTTGATTTTTGGTTTACTGCTTATTTCTTTCATTAATTATATCAAATTAAACAAATTCCATCATTATTACATTTGTAACTTCCAGGCAAGCTGTATGAACAAAGAAAACCTATGTTGAAATGAACTGTAAAAGTACCATATGAATACATAGGAACACATATAGAGGGTGCCTGTACTGGTAGTCCTCAGTTTACAACCATTCATTTAATGACCATTTGAAGTTACAACAGCACTGAAAGAAGTGACTTATGACTGTTTTTCACACTTGCAAACATTGCAGCATCTCTACAGTCATGTATTCAAAATTCGGGTGCTTGGCAACTGGCATATATTTATGACAGTTGCAATGTCCTGAGGTTATGTGATCACCTTTTATAACTTTTGGACAAGCAAAATCACTGAAAAACCAGATTCGCTTAACAACTGTGCTGCTAACTTAACTGCTTCACTTATAAACTGTGCTGTGGCAAGAAATTGTGGTTATACTACTAGTACCTTACTTGTTGCATACATCCCAAAACTCAGAAAACTGACTTAGTGCTAATAGTATTTACATTCGTATCATACCTAGTCTTAACACTATTAGCAGCATGTATGAATATTGTATGGATATATATTTATTTACATATATTTCTAGTCAGAGTCAATTTCAATAGAGCTTGTCCTCTACGTTAGGATAGAATGTACAATAGCTTTCAGTCTTGAGACAGGCAGCTAAGTAATTGTGCAATTTCCCAGCATTTTGTCTACATCACCAAAGTTAATTGAGCTAATGGCAGTTTTACATTATTATTTATGCTGCTGCATTGACTAAATTGGAAAATTAGGAAAGATAAACTATTATAAATGTTTATAAAACTAGTATTATGAAACTAATAAAAGTCTAATCTTGTGCTCAGAAAAGCCCATAATTACTAAAGTAATTTCAATAAAAATAACATCGTTCCATATCACTCTAGAACAAATGTTTTGTTTCAAACAGACTCTGAACATATAAATTTTGTTTTGTAAATTGGAACAGCTGTTTCAAGCTTAGAACATTTCAAAGTCAGAATAATTTTAGACCTGTTCCATGCCTTACTGGCTTCAGCATGAAGAGGATCCATATTTCCATACATGATTACTCCAAACAATTGCATAGTGTTGTAGAAGTAGTTGTTCTATGATTTCAAAGTTAGAAGGAATGTAAATATTCCAGGAAGTATTACCTGTGTTTCCAAGTTCTGTTTATAGTCACCCACACGTAGCCCTTGTCAATAGCCACAATCAAAACACTTTCAAACATTGAAGCACAACTAATTATCTGGAATACATGGAGACCTTGTAAATTTAAAGTAACAACAAAACTTTACTGTTATAAAATACATTTGTCCTTTCTCTCTGTCACACACACACACACTGTCACATACACACATGTCCTTCTCAACTATGCTGCGAGGTACCAGCCAGAGGGATGGAAGTGGCCAAGTCTAAGTCCAAAGAGGGCTCAAAGAGTAGGTGGAATTCAGAAATCCTTTTGTCTCCCAAAGTCCTTGCGTTGTTGATTCACAACACTGGCAGCTACACTTGCCTTGTTGATTTTCAAGTCTGGTAGCTATTGATGGGACTTGGGAAGGAGATTTCTATGTGACCAGGCCCAACTTCTTTTGTCTGGTTCATGTAATATTTTGTTTTATTTGTTTCCTTATCTACTTGGTTCCTTCTTAACTACCTCCTCTAAGGGACATTTTAGACAAGATTCCTGGCTTTTGTTTACCCTCATGTGCCAGCTTTAACTTTAGGTATGGTAGCTTCAGTCTAGTCTCACAGAAACAACTAGATAGCAGTAGTAATCAAGGGCCAAATAAACTTGAGATAAACATGTTGGAGGTCCATGATAATTGTTGGTGGAAGTATAGTCCAAAGTTAATAATACCACCTACTGCAAATATAAAACCTAAATTCTTGTTCTTACATATACCACCCATTAATGCATACCCTCTAAAATCAAATTTTGAAAGAGTATTTATTGGGAAATGTGGGTACTGGTAGTATGATGACACTGAAACAAATATTTTAAAAAATCCAGAGGAAAGATCCCTTCCTATCAATTACAAATAAACAACATACAGGTCATGTTCATATAGATCTTAAAATAACTTCTATTATCTATGGAGATT